GAAAGTGTAGATGTCTATATTTTCTATTCGCGAACTAGTTATCGTTCACATCTTACCCCATCTATTTTGGCTTAGGTGATGGGTCATTATAATGTCACGAGTCTACACATAACGGGTGTGGCTAACCGTCGACCAGTTAACCAGAGATAAATTACTTGACTACCCCTACTGAAATACTGAATGTTTGCGGATCTCTCATTTGAAATAATTTCGTTGCTTCTTTGCATGAACAAATGGAATGAAATGAAGCTAATAAACTTTGAAACTTCGGTAGGTTAGTTGATGAGGTTGAAAATGTTTATCGATTCACTTGGTTGAAACTTCTGTTACTCCTGTCTAATCACCATATATATTCCTACCCAATTTTAGCTGAGCTGGGTTTAGGTTTCAGAAAGGATAAATTTGTCGGAGTAAATCATAGTATCAGTCCACGAAGTCTCTGATTGTTGGTCAGAGCTGTGTAGAGAATTATAGACTTCTTGGCCTGGGTTTGCGTCACAAGTGAAACTGGTGATTAGAACTCCTGGGTAATATGGCTTAGAAGTGGTCTCACTCTTGCAGATGTGTCCACACTTTAACTCCATTTTAACCCTCATGCTGATTTTTGTCGCTGTTTTATCCCAGTTTATCTTCTTCTTCTTCTGCCCTTTCATTGCTTTCGATTACTTTCTTCTTTGTTTCTCTGCCTACCATCTTGGTATCTTCCGCCCTGATATACTGATATGGAGTGTGAGAAACTGAGTCGTTACTCAGTAACACCAGATCAAACATTAATAGTAAGTGACTGCACAGACATGCAATTAATGAATGTTTAGACCGGAGGCAACAGTTCTCCATTTATATTGAAAGATAGTTGTTTCACAGCTTGAAGCGATTGATTTTGAAATGGAAAGAAGTATTGATGAAACTCCCAGTTCACAATAAGGATGACTCAGTAGGCGGATCAAACAAGAAATCTCAGCATGGCCTTATCTGTAAAGAAAAGTGTTCAGGATACGAATGATAATCATTTGCCTGACACTAGACATGGTGGGAAGAATGGAAGTAATAGTTTTGTACAGTGAAGAGTTCAATTTTCTTTAACTGACTAACTCTCAGTACATTTCTAGTTGCCTTTATCCTAAATAAGTCAAACAGACACAGTGTCTAAACCACCTTGGCTTGACTTGGATATATCTGTGATTGTTTCTCTAAAATGTTATCTGTTAAACTGTATTTTAATGACATATTGGCATGCTACTTGTCAAAAGCACCAATCACTTAAATTCCACTCTGAAAAGTATCAGCCTTCACCCTACTAAGGATAGCTATGCTAAGCTGAAGCTGCTTTTTATCATATCAATGAGATCTCTTGTAATATGATTGATTTCCACTGGTAAGAATGTATTCTGTTCATCATAAATGCGAACCAAATGGTTTTAAGGGCGGTTTCTATCATGAATCAACAACAATTAGATAGACAGCTATTTCTTCCGAGTCAGTTTTTATGTAATGGTTGAATAAAAAGGATGTTCAAAATGTTTGTTAAACCTGCATTTATCATTCCAATAACCACCCATCTTCCGAGTTCACGAGACGTGGTCACCACATTTATGGAAAATTCAGGTCATTCTTCTGTCACTGCTTGTTTTCACAGCGAACTTTAGTTGCGGGTCCTTCCCTATGTCACGCATTGTTTGTCAAATTATTTGAAATGTGATAAAGAGGAGAGATAGTTCAAAGTTCTTCGTTATGACTGACCAATAGTTCTCTTCATTTTATCTTTTTTTCCAACAATTTCCAAAGTCATCCACCCTCTAATGCGACGGGATTTATTCTCCTGGTATTTTACATGGACTGCAATGTTAGAGCCCTCTATCAATCTCAAAAGTAAATTTTTGTAAGAATTTCAGAATCATTACTTTTGAACACTTGGAATCAATTTTCATTTAGTCAAGTCTACAATCCAACAGATGATGTATTGAAATGTTAGCGTTGACTCATATTTCTAACCCTATCTAGCATCGCGAAAACATTGTGAGAGTTTGACAAACTGATACTTTTCTCTATGGCTATTAACTTTCAATATGAAAAAGGTAACAAAAGTTGTTGATTCATGAAATCAACAAAAAATGCTCATTTTATGCATGCTTCAGAGATATTTTACAACTCAGTGAAAACGACACATGTGATGTAGGGGAATGTTATCTAGAGAATTAAAATGCAATTTAAGAGACTTTGGAACTGTTCACTGCGATGTCTATCATATTCAAAATACAGTCATCGTATTCATAAATACCACTGATTCAGAAGTATTCACAATGGAGTCGCTTGATAAGTGAATACATTCCAACTACAAAGTTATAGGAAATTTATAAATCGCACGGAAGTGGCCATATAGAATGAGGTTTTACTCTGTACATCACCAGTTTTCAAGAGCAGTAACGGATTTCGATTTCTTCATGTTTTTTTCTATCTTACTGATATTTGGGTTTGAGAACAAATTAAAATAACTGGTAGTTGAATTTAAGTCTCTGTTTAAACGTTCAATATCTGATGCATAGCACTCTTGACTTTGAAGCAGAACACAAGTACAAATACTGAGAATTGCCAAATAGGTCAGTTTGTATTGACATAAGGTGGCCAGTTGGTAAATACTCATTGTACAAGAGGTGTTTACCCTAACTCATCAGCCTAGTGGATAACACTAATAAGTTCGAAGTGATCAGTACTTGGTTCTACTGTCAACCGGGACACCATCACTAACTAGGATGCAGGTACATCTGTCTGACTAGCCCCAAATTAAATGAAATCAGTATCCTAAATTCTTCTGATAGCCATTTTCAATCAAATGGCCTTCTTACGTTCTCCTTAAGCAGATGTACGGCGATGGAACAGTTCATTACTAACTTACTGTTTTAATGAAACAAAAGTACATCTCAGTTTTGACAGCATTCATTTATTTGATAATTTGATGAAGGAACAGTAAGTAAATTACAAATAACTTACTGAGGTAGTCTTAACTACAAAAGAACATCTTCACACAGAGAACTGAATTACCTAACTCATCTTCGTCTGAAATTCCTCAGCAGTATGAACCTTACATACGAAGAAACCAGTAAGCAACCGACGTAGTTATCTAGTCATTAGTCCTCATCTCTGATCGACTACTGTCGATGAAGTTTGGAATATGGTCATTAAACGAAGTGACGCAACATTAAGTTTCATTGAGTCCTGGTTTTAGGTTTCAGGGACCGGTTGGTAGGAAGCCATGCACAACCTTGGTGTTGCGTTTGTCAGCACTCATCAGCAAAACATGCCTACAACCATGAGGAAGATGGTAATTCTAACCTGAGCCACTGAGTACTGAAGTTCGAAACTTCAAAGTTATTCACGTTACGACAGCAATACTGTATGACTAGATTATGTGCAATCAGCTCATAGTATCTGCCTAGTTCTTAACTTTCATCAATGATCCAACTCTGTCTATCAAGGTTACAATGTGATTACTGACCTAATGGTCGATGAGCATTTCCACATCATGTGATATGAACAGCATAGTAGTGAACTCTTTGAATTCAACACTGAGTGAAATATTTAAAATCACCAAGAGAAGAGTAGTTTTACTGCTAAAAAGCAGGAAACCTAGGTCCAGCAGAGCCTCTTTCCGATTGGTTCCTAACACCTAAGAATGAAAAATGCCACTGCAAAACCAAACATCGTCATTCAAAACTAATTTAATCCCACATGTCCCAGCTCGCATTAGAACTCCGTGGAATCTCTTAAGAAGACAGTTAATAGTATGGACTGAATTGCTGCTGAGTGTAGTGTCTGTTTAATGTGGAGCTGACTGATCTTTAAGAACAAAGATAATCAAAAAGTTGATGGGATTTAGACATCTATTTCTAAGCGAGATTTCCGGGGTTGCCTGGACATCCCAATGTAATATTTATGGGACATCGATTATTTAAATTCGTTGGGAATTCCACTGTATTCATATCCAATGAAATGACTGTATGTTGGGACTCTAAGTGGAGTATAGACTCATTGAGCCCGAAAAGCAGTTTGTTGGAAACTATCATAACAGCACTTTCAGTATCCAGTGTGTTGCCATGTAAGATTAATGTGGTATTTTAGGTTGGAAATGTTACAATAAATGAAGACAGTTAAAAAAATCATCAAAATTGCTCATTTCAAACATTGCTAAGACGGAATAATGACCACTAGCATCAGTTACGCTACATTAAGCTTACATGACAACATGCCGGCTACCAGTAGTCATGACAGCGAAAATGTAGATTTAGACTAGTTTCATACGACTAACGGCAGACAGCCTATCAGGAGGAATAGTAATAATAATAATAATCTGTTTAAATTCAGTAGGTCATTATTATTCCTTATACTACTAAGCAGTCTCTAGACGATGTATAGATTCAGAATAGATAAAAAAATAGTCAAACTGGAAATCATGAAAATTCTTAGATATATATCAATAGTTGGGGAAATTCATAGACCGGTGAACTTTGGTTAGCTCTAAAAGACCAAATTAGTTATCACTTGGTAGCTAGGGTGGTTCACGATGCCTGCGGCTGGTAGCGTTTGTTATGGAAAAGTTATTCCACATTAGACTGTGGCACGAAATGCATAAAGTTATGTTATTACTATGATCAGTTGCTTATCTTCAAGATACTCTTAAACTAGTGTGCTGTTATGTGGCCTGGGAGGCAAACAGACACACACACCCAGGGAAAAATGGAATTTTAAGAATTTAACCATAGGCAACTTTTGTGATTAACCTTTCAATTCAGCAATAAGAAATTATCATCCTCAACATTCGACTGATTCAAGGGATGACATTTTATTTATTGGCTTGGAATCGTTGAACAAGCAACTATTTTACTTTGAGGGGAATACTGGGAGAGGTCAAATGTCCTGAGATGAAGCAGTATTCACGAATAAAACTGTTGTCATTCATTTTCTTTCGTTGGAATAACCAAGTTGGATAATGTTTCAAAATACGTTTACCAACTTGACACGGCCAATGAACGTTGACCCAAAGCAAAAGGTAAAGAGATATATGCATATTTTTCAGCTTTGCTTTCAGATGAGAAAGGTGTATCAACTTTATCGTTCTTGAACAACTGATTGTCTTCAATTATTTGACTACTCCCAGTACACATCTTCCAGTAGACAGCAACCATTTTATTGAAACTTATAGAATGAAATAAAAAGCAAAACCGTATTGAAAACAACTTACATTAGAGTATGAATTATGCCACACAAAGAATAATGGAACTACGTATTTTAGTATCTAGGACTTGTATGAAATCTTTAGCTTTTCAGTTATCAATAACTTGTACAATTATTTGTTTAAATATAAGCTATGCACATGCGCGTATATATATATATATATATGTATATATATGTATATATATATATATATATATATATATATATATATATATATATATATATATATATATATATATATATATTAGGGCAGCACGCGAGGATATTGGAAAAGATAAAAAGTCGTAATTTTTCTTGTATTTTAAAAACTTCAGTACAGAAAAACAAGAATTCTCCCCACCTCTTTTGTGCATCGCTTAATACATATGTCTAATTTCTTTATGTTTTCCCCTGTGTTTTGAGAAAATTGCTTTTTTCGTTTGACATCTAGTGAATTAATCAACCAATCAACCAAAAATATTGCCATTCTGATATCCATACAATGTGTGGTTTCCATCTAAGTTTTCTACTATGACAAAAGTTTATCCTTTTAGATTTTCCTTGAATAGTGTCACCTCTGTTTTTAAAAGGTCCAGTTTTTTAAAGCTATTTTAATTAAATCAGAAGATAGAAGATTTTTGGTCAGTATTATCTTAAGACAACGTATTAAAAGATGAATGACCTTGGGAATAGTAGGGAGAGGACGGAAAAGATAAGAATTTCGTGAAACAGGAGCAAAAACCAAAATGTATAAGTGAGTAGTAATAACTCGCTAATAACTCCATAACTATCTTCCTGTTCGGTCTCACTAGGCTAAAAGAATGATCTTTTTAGATTCATTTTAGGTTGGCTAGTGGCTTAAACGGTATGGTGTGCACGAAGTGTGCATAATAGCGTAAGACAAATTTGAACAGCCATAAGTACTACTTATTGTTTAATAGCTAGTAATACAAACCACTTTTTGGTACATTCATTAAGATTGAAGTATTTCATTGACAGATGTAATCTTTCGAATTTTTCATTACTTTGAAAAATGACTACGTTTTTATGAAGCTATCCTCTATTTTTGAGAAGATATTTTGGCGATAATCTTAACTCAGAGTTCAGATTTTGAAATTGATGTTTCACATTTTGTTACGTTTTAAGCAGTAAACGTTTCAATCCCAATCCACTTGTGCATCATCTCACCAGGAAACAACAAACACTGGTGGATCGGAAAGCAATCACATTTGCTTTACCTTACCTAAGATAATCAGGATGAATTCTGGTAGGGTTCCTATCCGTGTCAGATCAGATTACTTCAATTTTGCTCAACAAGTTTATTGATAATAACGTCTATGCTGATAGTAGAACGTTCTTTGACAATAAGTGGTTGATATAATCCCGATATATACTCATGCAAATAGCCAGCTTACTATGTAACCTATCCTGGTTGAACCTTATCCATCATAAGGGTTTGTTGAAAGTTAACTTACTGTCAACTTAGGAAAGATAAAGTGATAGAAGACTTTTATCTTCCATGTTAGTAGTCTTGAATATACAAAAAGCTGAAGTGCTTTCCATAGAAGTAGACGCCAATTCTCTGTGCCACCGTCTGTTCTTATTAGTCTGAAAAACTGGCACAGAAGCACTCTAACCTTCGAAAACGCTGATTACTTTCTTCATTGTAACTTATGTGATAGTAAACTCTTTTCGATGGAGGAATTTCAACCAGGGTTCGGAGCAAACTGTAAATTATATAGCTATGCAATTCAGTTAACAGTAATGATGAAGAACGTCCACAGAAAGCGCACATACTAGAAGAGGTCAATCAACGGTCGGTTGCGTAACTGCAAACGTTTGAAGTAACACCCGACGGGAATGTAAACATTTGCTGGGATAGCGGGATCAACGACTGTAATTATAAGGTCGGGCAAAATGAACCCTGTGAATTCTGTGTCTGTGTATGACAGGCAGTCTTTCCACTCACATACAGTATCTGAGGGCTCGTGCTAGCGGATAAAAAGAAGCTTTATGAGGGAAAGTTTCTAGTTATTCCATGTTCTTGCAAGTACCCTAAGTTAACTGTATTGCTTTAAAAAACTATCGTTATAATTTCTGATAAGCATTTCGTAATGCTGACTGAAGACGTATACTAAAAGTCCAGCAATCTGGAAACTGTGACTTTAAATTATCCTTCTATATATGTTTCCTAAAGTAGTTAGAACCTAGTCTTGTCGAATCCGAAGTTTCTACTTCGAGTTTCCATATATGAACATTTCCATAATAACTTTCTAGTATCCATTAGACCTTGTCGTGAAAATATGTGACAATCACTAAATCGATAAACTTCAGATTACATTTAGAATTTGACAGCTAAATCTCTAGCCATTAGGTAACCATCTGTTGTAAGATGCTTAGTAGCCGACACTAACTGGTCACTGGAGAGTAAGCGATTTCATTTTATCTAGTGTTAGGTGTTTGTACAATCCTGTTGATCATTTCATAGTGTATACACTAAGCCAGAAGACCCACCACAATCATACACTCTGGTCAATATTCCTGAATCGACGGCAAAAGGTGAAAATCTGCACACTTCTCCGAAGTGCCCGTCGGCACTGAGCATCAAACTCAAGGCGAACTAGGAGGCTCTCAGCAATCTGAAACAAATCTTGGTGACCACACTACACAATGATCTATGGAATCTTGTCAGCATTCGAAACTGGATCATGTGAAAGAAGTTACTCTTCCTTGAATAATCAATCTATCCGGTCCCGTCCTACGGGAGGTCAGACGCAGTCCAAATAACTCAGAACCAACATCTGTGACTGGCATAATGTATGACAGGATTTGAATTTCTGAGTGGAAATCAGTTTCACTTCTCCCGAGATTGTAGCTACACCTTACTGTCGAGTGTCAAATGGTGCAAACCTGGGTTGAAGAGAGCTTCTTAACGATTGCTTCCAACCATCTAACATGCAAAAGATATTTCGTAAACTGATTTCACTCGATCAAAACTGAAAACATTTTCATGTTAAGCTGCTGAGTAAAATGAATAGTTACCAATAATTGTTTAAAGGATCATTTACTACTAATCTACCAAAATATTTCTTTATAGAGCATAGATATTAGTCTTGTGCTTCTTCCGAGTAAAATGACCATCATTCGACTATGCATGTGCCCATACATCCATGTACAGCTTCATACTCTAGCTGACGAAATGTACCTACTGTATTCTGGTTGATACCATGGAGTCCGCATCCATTACTCACTAACCGAAAGCCGACTTCCTAAGCTGGTGAGCATCAGCTTTAAAAGACAAAAGTGCCTTACGGCGGACAAAAACAATTAGCTTTGCAATACCAACTGAAAATGCCTACCCATCATTTAAACTTGACTGCTGCAGCTTAGTGTTCTCCTGAGCTAAGAGGTCTTGACTATTACCTACCGTTCTCGTGTGGGTGCCAGTAGGACCATCCATCTTACATACCGGTTTATTCAACACTTCTTGCGTGAATTTGGCCAATCTTCGTCACATTACCGGTGGTATTTTTTTTACCATTGCAGAAGTATTTTTACTGACAGTGAAAATAAATCAGCTCATTTATCCATGACCACACAGACACAAATGCAGGATGTCCCGTTTCTGAAAAACAACATGGACGCTCTGTCAATCCTACTTTGGAGGAAAACATGATTAGGTTTCTGGAAAGCTGTACAAAACGTAAAGTATATCCTAAATATTACCGCGTATCCCTTAGACGTAATCATGTTCATCCAAAGTCTGGGATATCAAAATGTGACATAACAAATTATATTGATGAAATGCGTTCTCATCTACCTCAACTAGATAGAAATAGCGAGGTCATGTCACTATAAGAACTCTCATACAATGAGCAACATGAATCCGAAGTTTATGTAAGTTTAGTGGGCATGTTAACAACAAACTGATGAAAAGTCTCATGAGAACTCAAGCTGTAAACATTTTCCCTATATCCTGGGGAAAATACATCTTCAACGATTAAACTTCAAGTCTTATCACTTGGCCCTAAATTCTTCTATAAATAAGAGCCAAGTAGACACAACATTCAGTTTTAGTTTGAGAATCTTTTTTACTGAGCAGATGATTTAACCGCCTCATCTCTAGAATTTCTTGAACACCTTAAATCCACTTAACTTGACTTTGCCCACCAATTATAAAATACACAACCGAAACAACTTTATTGTTTGATTAAAGGTCACACCACCCAACTAAAATAATTGAGATATGACGACGAGATGATAATAACTCATCCCAACAAAGGTGCTTGTAAAATATTCATGGACAGGAGAAAATATTGAAACTTTTGGATAAAAGCAGGCTTTCTTACTCAGTCAACGAAAGAATAAAACTGAGACAACTCAAAGTCAATTAACAGAAACTCTTAAAAAAACAAACGTCATCGTTTAAGAGAAGTATGAATGATTGAGTCCTTTTGGGTCAAATATTCTTCATCTATATGAAGTATCGAAAACGCATAATCTATACATATCATTACACACCATCCTAGACATATCTGGTTAGCCTAAACACTAAATTGCCAGATAGTACGTGTACATCAGCAACCTAATTTCTCAATAACTGCTTACGTGATACACTTCACTTTGCCAATTATATATATATATATATATATATATATATATATATATATATATATCCCTTGATGTCCGCTCACTAGTCATATGCATTCCATCCTTGAGAATTGTTTGTTACGCTGTGACTATATTGAATTGAACATAGTCGATAATTAGATGTCATCAAAGTACTCCAAACAACTGTTTTTAAGATGCACCTCTGATTTCCCATGTAGCTGTTATCTACACGTACTACCGCCAACAAGGACGATGTTGCAATATGGTCCTCATTGGCCATACATCTGACAGGTATTTGATGTCAGAAATGGAAAACAATTGTACTGGACCTGGTTATACATCAGTTCAAATTCTACAGAAT